AGTCTCATGTCTTACTTTCCTCTTGTTTCTTTTGTTTGGTGTCTTTAAAAGATTCTCACTCTTTCTTTTTCCATTTCGGGTTTGGTAATTCCTCTTCCTTCTCTCTTGCTGTTCTGATTGGACTATCCACACTTAGAGCAGTTCAGTTAGGCACGGGTGATTAGTTATTTCAAAGTTAGGATCCCACCTACTTCCTCTCTCTCTCTCCTATCACCGTCCTTGCTTTTCTAGATCCGCCTCCTCTCACCTGTTCTGAGTTTAGCTGGGCCTCCACTTAATTTGTTTGTATAAAAGACCCACTTTCCTGCTGCTTCTTGTCGACTCGTTTCTTCCGCCTAAGCTCGCTTTGGTCAAGTCTCGTTTCTGCATCTTTTTCTCGATTTCTGCAAGTTTGTATTTCTGATTTCTCCCGTGAGTCTTGTTTACATTGTTTTTGCGTTGTGTGATTGAGATAGTGATTGTGAGTACCACGTTTACCCTTTTATTCCCATTGTACCAACTTTGTTAGAGATTTCCTTTGTGCTACCCTTTATCCTCTCCAACTCCCCTTTTCCTTCCCCATCCAATCCCTTTAGTATTTCCCTGTGTTACTGTCTTTGTGCGGACTGACACCCTGGTTTATAGATCTTTCTGCTTGTCCCTTGATTTACGATTCTGCCTTGCCTAAACCATTCCTGTTGCCTGGCTTTGATTTCTGTTCTGTATGACCATGAGCTCACCTAATAAACGCCCTGCCATTGCTGAACTGCATTTGGAGTCTCAAGCCATTCCTTTCACTTCTTGCATTTAGATAAAAACATTTCAGGTTATCACAAATGCTCTTCCCCTTCGATTTCCCATGTGCCCGCTGCTCCAAGCCCCTCACTACGCTTTGTTGCTTTAAAAATATATCATCAATAGTGCATGTAACGCTGTCAGCTTCCATCAGGGCAGTCTCATTTCCCTCTGTATAACACTCCCTTACCTCCCTGCCCCCCAAGTCCCTAGTTTAAATAACTCTGTGCTACCCTCAACATACGCTGACCTAGTGCAAAGGTACCCCTCCGGTTCAGGTGCAGCCCGTCCGGCTTGAACCGGTCACCCCTGTCCCAGAAGTAGTTCCAGTGCCCCATAAACCTAAACCGGAACTACTTCTGGGACACGCTGCATACCCTAAGCTTAAGAGCAGAGGGACCATCCAGCTTGTTATCAGCGCACAGTTCAAAAGTCAGCATCCGTGATGGTATGGGGGTGCATTAGTGCACACGGCATGGGTAGCTCGCACATCTGTGAAGACAACATTAATGCTGAGCGATATACAGGTTTGGGAGCAACATATGCCGCCATCCAGACACCTTTTCCGGGGAAGGCCTCGCTTATTTCAGCAAGACAATGCTTAAAGGCACAGTTAGCGATCATAATCCACGCACTTTTTGTCAAAATAACCATATTTCTCCTCACTATCTGCAAGCTGTCACTTCTGAGAGCATGCTGGAAAAAAAATCCGGTTTCAGAACACAGCCTGGGCTCTGAATTTAAGCAGGTAAATCTGTGGCTCGGACTGAGCCACTAGAGCATGGGCCCACCCTCCCCCCCCCGGGGGGGGGGGTTCATACTCGTGCACAGGTCAGACACGGGGGAGTAGCAAAGTCACAGAGCGCGAAGTTAGAGTAGAGAGAGAAACACGGCATTGCAGCATTTGAGATGGCTGAAAAAGAGCCCAAGAGAAAACAGTCGGAGGAACATAAATTAAAAAAGAAGGGCTACGACCATGAAAGGGCGAATACCCGGGTCAACATTGGTGTGGCTTTCCGAAGGTGGAGGGAACCCAGCGAATTGAAGGGTCTGAAAATGGACGCGGAGGTTGCCGTCTTTCTGCTAGACAGGTGAGCAACATTAGCTTTGTGGTGCTTCACACAACAGTAACAGCCGTCAGGCATTCATCATATTGTCTAATCTGCCAAAATGTACCGTTGTTGTGATGTTATCTATTCATAATAGCAGTCGAGTTGTGGGTACAGTTGTCTGACGGGTCAGCTAACCTTAGCTTCGCAAATTGAACTTGTGGCTACGAGTTCTTGTGAATGTCTGACATCTTATGTAAGGAATCAACGGGGAATTGCGCAATCAAATGCCGTACATATGCGCGACTAGATAGAATGAAATGAACCACCTTTGTCTCAGCTTATTGTTTTGCTTGTACTGGCTCGCTTTGCATGCATGCGGTTGTAGCTGTACTGTTATATACCCACTGTTCAGGAAGAAATTTTGCTATAAGCTCTTGATAACCATTTCTTCCAAAACGAAACAATTCCAACAGCAAGCTACTAAATGAGCTCATAGCAGAAACACGCAAACGGTCTAAGCGTTGCTTGTGTGGAGCTCGCGATTCGATTACTTGTACCGGGAAAAATTCCGAATCCATTTTCCTCTTTTTCGGCTTCTAATTAGCCAGAACGATTTTTAAATGCATTCCTGACTGTAGTCTGTTCGTGGACACAGACTCCTATTTGAGGCATTGCACTGGCAAGCATGCTTTAGCAGTTCTTTATATGACAGGCTTATTATCACCTTTGCTACAATACTACTAAAACTCGTCACATGTACTTTCAAAGCAATAAATACGGCTTCCCTTCGCCAACTTACCCTCGAGCATTGGAGGGTCCGGCCTCCGCCATATTGGTCAGCTACGCAGTTTCCACTGCCGTTTACATGACAGTGCGTGTCCATGAACTTCGGGGGTGGACACCGGGGCGGAGTATGAAGGGAGGGGTGGGTCTGTATTCATTTACACTTCAAATATCAACAACCTCTCTACTCGTTTTCTCCCACATCGCTGACTGCACCTTTAGCCACATTCTGCACGTATTACAACACCATTACCCCATATTGAATGAATCAGTTGCTAAACCGGCCTGCCTGCAGGCCAGACTTGTCACACACTTAAAACATTTGGCACATTATGAAAAGAGAAATATGACAAAGGAGGCCACAAAGTATGAGCAGCTGAAATCCTACATCAAGCAAAAATGGGAAAACATTTTGCTTTCAAAACGACAGCATTTAGCCTCCTCAGTTCCCAATGTGTTGTTAAAAGAAGAATGATGCAACAGAGTGGTAAACATGCCCTTGTCCCTACTTTTTTGAAAAGTGGTACGGGAATCAAATTCAAAATGCACATATTATAAAAAAACAGGAAATTTCTGCATCAACTTTTAACATATTGTGTTTGTACTACAACACCAATTCCGAAATAGTTGGGACGAAGTGTAAATTGTGAATAAAATCAAAATCCAATGACTTTCAGATCACATGAGCCAGTATGTTATTTACAATAGAACACAGATAACATTTCAAATGTTGAAACTGAGACATTTTACATTTTGATCCATGAAATAAGCTTATTTCAAATTATCTGGCTGCAACAAGTCTCAAAACAGTTGGGACGCAGGGAAAAAAGGGCTGAAAAAGCAATTAATATATAAGAGAATCAGCTGAAAGAACATTTAGCAAGTAATTAAGTTAACTGGCATCAGGTGTGTAACATGAATGGGTATAAAAGGGATGTCTTAGAGAGGCTGAGTCTCTCAGAAGTAAAGATGGCCAGAGGCTTTCCAACCTGTGAAGGCTTGCGTAAAAAAATTGTGGAATACTTTAAAAACAATGTTCCTCACCGTCAAATTGCAAAAACTTTGAAGGTCTCATCATCGACAGTGCATAACATCATCAAAAGATTCAGAGAAACTGGAAAAATCTCTGTGCGTAAGGGACAAGGCCGAAGACCTTCACTGGATGCCTGTAATCTTCGAGCCCTCAGATACCACTGCATCACTCACCGGCATGATTCTGTTATTGACGTTACTAAATGGGCCCAGGAATACTTCAAGAAACCACTGTCTGTAAACACAGTCCGCCGTGCCATCCACAGATGCCACCTAAAACTCTCTCATGCAAAAAGGAAGCCATTGTTGAGCGTGATCCAGAAGCGCCGCCGTGTTCTGTGGGCCAAGGCTCATTTAAAATGGACTGTAACAAAGTGGCAAAGTGTCCTGTGGTCAGACGAGTCCAAATTTGACATTCTTGTTGGAAATCATGGACTTTGTGTCCTCCGGGCTAAAGAGGAGAGAGACCGCCCCTCCTGTTATCAACATTCAGTTGAAAAGCCAGCATCTCTGATGGTATGGGGATGCATTAGTGCATATGGTGTGGGACACTTGCATGTTTTAAAAAGCACCATGAATGCTGAAAGGTATATAAAGGTTTTAGAGCAACATATGCTCCCCTCCAAACAAAATCTAATCCAGGGCAGGCCTTGTGTATTTCAGCAGGACAATGCAAAACCACATACTGCAGCTATTACAACAGCATGGCTTCGTAGTAGAAGAGTCAGTGTGCTGAACTGGCCTGAACTGGTCCCGATCTTTCACCGATTGAGAACGTTTGGCGCATAATTAAACGAAAAGTCCGTCAAAGGAGACCCAAAACTCTCCAGCAGCTGGAAGCCTGTATTATACAAGAGTGGGATCAAATTCCAATGGCTAAACTCACGAAACTTGTCTCCTCAATGCCCAGACGCCTCCACTCTGTGTTAAAAAGAAGAGGGGATGCTATAGGATGGTAAACAGGCCCCTGTCCCAACTTTTTTGAGACCTATAGCAGCCATCAAATTTGAAATGAGCTTGTTTTCTGGATAAAATTGTAAAATTTCTCAGTTTCAACATTTGCTATGCTATCTCTGTTCTATTGTGAATAAAATACTGGCTGGTGTGATTTGACAGTCATTGCATTTTGACTTTATTCACAATTTACACTTTGTCCCAACTATTTCGGAATTCGGGTTGTGTAGGCAGGTCACCACTCAGTTGCGGTGTATTCATGTGCTCTTTCATTGTTGTGAAAATGAATAGCTTCAGATAAATCATATTTTGAACAAAGTTTAAAAAAAAAAAAAATCTGTATAACCTTATTTGTACGTCTGTAGGTTGTGATAAAAAGAAATCCGAATAACGCAGAGCAATGTCATGTAAGTTGCCTAGTGGTATGATCCTTGCCTAATGATCAACTAGTTGCTGGTTCAAGTCCTGCTGCAGATGAACTTCTAGCTGAGGTAATCTAATGAGAAATAGTTATTTCCACAGTATCCTTGAAAATGGATAAATGGATATTGCTGGTGTGATAACAATGAAGAGATGATTGTTAGCCTTTAGCTGCCTCGAAAAAATTTGTGAAACTTACAGGTGTAATGTTACACGCGAACAACTCGTGATTTTATCTGGAATTAGTTCGTGAATAGTTCATGAATGTTTTTCATGCAGAAGGTTTGTGAGCAACATATGCATATATCATCTTGATGGACTGCTGACGCATGCACGTCAGAGCACTTGAATGAAAAACTGCCAAATCGTTTGAAACCATGAGCGCTGAAACTGTCGTGAATCTGAGCTGTGCTGCTTTCAGTGCAACAACACGGTTGTCCAGATATGTTTCCCAGCTCAGCTGTATAAAGCATACAGTTGGCTTTTGTGGAGGAGGGGGCAGGATATGTCCTACAACCACCATCTCTCGCTTTGTGGACTTTGGTATTGAAAATGCCTGAGGTGGTTTATCTCCTCTCTTTACCGTTTCTGACTGTATTGTATTCAATTAACCCTTTAAAGTGCAGTCCTTTTTTGAGCAAATTTCCCCCCAAACTAAAATGCCATTTTCACAACAGGCATAGCGTGGTCTCGGTTGAAAGGTGATTACTCAGTAGATTGCTCTCAGACAGTCAGAATTGCTGAGATCATTATTCAAACTGAGTAACAACACTGGAAGTTTTTGTCTGTCAGAAAAACACTTTGGGCTCTAATTTCTTGGCGCAGCGCAGGGTGGCGCAGCCCGCACAGTGGTACTTTCGTCCGGTGCAACACCGTGTGCAGCCACTTTGGCAATTTAGTAGACCGACATGCACCGAGATGGATGTGGCGGCGCAGTAGGGGGAGGTGTCACATATTCAACATGACGCAGTGACAATTTCGTGGCAAAAGGCTCTGCCGAAAGTGCGCAGAGCACTCGCCAGCTCCAACCTGGTTTACTTTCTGTGCAGTGGTAATTTGGCTGACCGGCGCACAGTGCACACATCACTGAAACCTCACAGGCAGGTTTCCAGAATGTCAGGCACATTTCAATGCAATAAATAATTACAGCAACCACTATTTAATGTAACTATCTGAATCAGCACATAAATTATAGTATCTATATCGATTGTCCTGATGTCAGATCAAAGGCGGTTGGCAAGCGTAATGGAAACTCGACCTGACAGCCCTCAGAGTGTCAGTGCATTCTCCGTGGCATGTTGCGTGCTACACAACATAGCTGTACGCCATGGATGTCACTTTGACCTCACGCAGGAGACATTACAGGACTTGAGACACAGAGAGAGGCCGAACTGCATGTGCCGTATCAGCAGGGAGAGCAGCAGTGTGCACGGGAGAGGCTGCACAGCTCTGTCCTTAACACTAGAACCTTGGCTGCCCTTTTTATACGGCACTGATGATAGTAATGCATGGTATTTCATGCCAGTAAAAGATATCAGTCCATCCGTCCATGACTTTTTCTAAATATATGTTTTCTATGTTCTTTCAAAGTTTTGAACTTCTGTTATAAAATGTAAGTGAGTATTGATATTAAATTACTTGAGCGCCGTAGCCGCTTTTTTTGTGGCAGTGACTTTGACCACAAATACCCCGGTCTGCAACGTACGAGAGAGAGTGAGAGAGAGAGAGAGATATGTGTGTGCATGTGGGTGCGTGAGTGCGTGTGTAGGCTATGTGGGTATGTGTCTTTCAGCTGCTTTCACACCAGACGCAAAACAAATTTTTCGCACAACAGATTACATTCAAAGTCAATGCAAAGATGCGAATAGACACGTTTTGCATGTATTCGCGTCTTTGCATTGACCTTGAATGTAATCTATCGCGTGGAAAATTTGTATCGCGTCCAGTGTGAACGCGGCTTTAGAAACACAGCCCGATCTGGGCTATATTTATTTAAACATTATTGTTATTATTACTTTTATTGTTGTGTACTGTTAGCCTATGAAAGGTAGTCTATAGGCTTACACAGCTGTCAAGTGCACCCCTTGTCGGATTCGTTCTGCTTGCAGTAGGGCTAATGCAATTGGGCAAATGTTGACTCAAGTTGCTGTTTTCTCATATAACGTGTTTGTCAGCATAATTAATTATTGTACGTAATAAGTTCACTGTTAGCCTATGAAAGGTAGTCTATAGGCTTACACAGCTGTCAAGTGCACCCCTTGTCGGATTCGTTCTGGTTGCAGTTGGGCTAATGCAATTGGGCAAATGTTGACTCAAGTTGCTGTTTTCTCATATAACGTGTTTGTCAGCAAAATTAATTATTGTACGTAATAAATTCACATGTATTTATTGGCAATTTTTTATTTCATTAGTTCAAAAACAATATATTGTTGATTCCCTCTTTATAATCGCACAATATTATGAAATGGCCTCACATCTGCACTGCCGTGAAAAAAGCGGCAGCCGGTTCTAGGGGGTTTAGAATTCGCGGCCGCTTTTTGCATCATCAGCCTGTGGAGGTCTGTTCGCGTGACCATATATTCGGCCACTGCGAGCTTGAACCTCCCGGACCAGAACATCAGTTTCCTCCTGGCTGAAGTTTGGCCGTCTGGTGTTGCTGCTGTGTCCTACTTCATCCATGTCGAACGAAATTTGCACTGCGCCTCGCCCACGGATGCAGATACTGCAGATACTGCCTTTACTGTATGCAGAGGTTATCCGAATGAGTGTTTCTCCATTTTTTTAATTAGGCTACGCAAGGTGCCTCCAAAATTTTCATACAAAGATGCCACATACATAAACTTGCCACAACCTTAACTCACAGCTGCAAACCATATCAGCGCACTCATGAAACCCGCTCAGATCTAGTAACCTGGACATTGATACCAAGTGAGTGGATACATAACTACGTTAGCAATCCAGCTCGCAATCCTCTGTATTAAGCATCTTAATATGCGGTGAAGCAATTGCAGCCGCGATAAACACCTCAAAATGGACCACCGACTATGAATTGGACAAGCCGCAAACCGTGCGTTAATCGGACTGGATCATGTTAAATTTACGATTACGTGTTTCTTTCATTTCCCCCACTGAGCCAAAGTTGGTTGGGACATTTTGACTTTCAAAGGTTATATTTTCTGAACATCATGGGACTAACTTTAATGCTTTCCCCATAATTCCACAGAACAAGTCATAATTATGACCTCACCTGAAGCCCTGATACACCTGTATCCCCAACAGCTTGCTCTGTTTCTCTAGCTTGCTGCTGTGGTTCCTGGACATAAAATTATTAATTAATAATGGCACCTTCGCGGGATTTCTCCACTGAAATTCACCTCATAATTTGACATATCCACCTGGCTTTTATTTAGCTACTACTGCTAACAACCTGATTACTCACCAACGTGACAGAAACCAGGTTTAGTTCGCTAGTTGAAACTAGCAAACATGTTTAATTAACATTCGTTGACCCTTATAGTACTGTGGAAATAGCGAAAATGTTCCTGTCATCAGACCGCCTGCTGTCGACTGCTGCTGTCTCCCGCCTCCCAAACAATAGGGACTTTAAGCAAAGGTGGATTTTGCGACGGCTACGGCGCCCGGAAATAAATCCTTCTGACGCTGGTGCCGTAGCCTCAAAGCCATAGTAGGGACCTTAAGCAACGGGCTGACTTTTCACAACGGTACAGTCGACGTCACAACCTTCTGACAGCTGTGGTTACGTATAAGAACAGCAGAGTAGCTGACTGTCTACAGCAGACCAAAACGCCTTTGGACAGATGAATGACGTACAAGATTTTTTTTAACGGACAGCAGCGCACAGCAATGGCTCAAAACGTCTTCTGATGATCTCTTCAGATGAAAGTGACATTTCCGCGGCATTTTAGATTTTCTGTCAGTATACGCACATCGATCCGTGGGAAATCAGTTGCAGTCAGCTGATTTAAGCACACATCTAATCAGGCGTGTGCATATATATATATATATATATATATATATATATATATATCTATGTGTGCTATATGCACGGGAGTATAAAGACACTTATGTACATTGGAGTAAATATAGATATGTATAGGGTATACAGAGAAATTGTATACTGTATGCAATGCAATTGCGCCTGTCTCCAGTATTGGAGGGGACACGTCCCCCCCGGTTCCCACGCCTAGGTGTGTACACTAAAAAAATGTAATTTTCCTGTTATACTGGAGTGACGGCTGATAGGCTAAAACACTTACTGTTCTGGGGTGCGTTTCTGAAAAGCACTGATACTCACTTACATAGTTGGAACCACTGACTGTGAATGGACGCACTATGCAAATTGCTAACTTAGTTAGCAACCGTGTTTTTGGGAAATGCACTTCTGTTAGATCAGCACATAATAGCCAGTGGGGGCACGTATTTTGATCCTAAAGGAGTCCTGTACAATTTATGGTACTGCATTATGAGTAAAAAAACTTTAAAAATCTAATTAAAGTGAAATTCGCAAAGACATGCAGCTACTACCTCTATGTCAAAGTCGATATACTGAAGTTTGTGTATGCTTGCTTGCTTGGTGGATTAAAAACTACAACAGTATTTTATGTCTGAACTGCTGCTGCGGTAAGAATATCAATTTCAACATATTTTTACAAATCTGAAGAATGATATACAACTGAACCTATGGGACTGCATAGTCAGGCTGAGGGTTGTTATGAAACTATTTTAAACACCATTTTCACTGTTGAATTCACATCATAAAATGGCTTGCGTAAAGTGACAGGCATTAAAATCTCATAGTGGTTTTTATGGTCTGTGACAACTGATAGTTTTTCCTTTTGATGATTCATATGATGACCATCAGGTATGGTAAGCATTGCAAAATATCAGGTGTCTCGGTTCAAATCCTTTCTTGGTTTAACACCTCATTATGATTACCCAAATGCAACAAAATTCCCTGGATCGTGGTTGTGAATCAAATATTATGAGAAATCATTTTGCATATGAAAAGTTCAAGGGCCAATAAAAACACACATTAA